AATACTAATAATAATAATAATAGTAATAGTAATAATAATAATAATAATAATAGTACTACTACTAATAATAATATTATTAGTAATAATAGTAGTAGTAGTAGTAGTAGTAATAATAATAATAAAGGAAAAAAAAGAGAAGAAGATTAGAACTTTGAGATGAAATATTAATGTAAGGATTAAACAATGATAACAATAAATATCAAGGTTAGAGGATCCACCAATGATATGTCAAACAAGTATAGTATAAACTCTTATTATTCAATTGGAAACCACACACAAAGGAGGTTCCAATTAGATTATAAATTGTTAACATGATTACATTAGTCATCTTATTCGATTAATGTTAATACTTGTAAATCTCGTCAAGCATTCATGATCATAACTTATGTTAATAACAAATCAAGTTTCTTTCATAGCTCAGGTTTCGGTTATATCATACAGTATGAACTATAAAAGTGCCAAGCATTTGTTGTACTAAGTGTTATACAACATAAATCAAGATTAGTCATTTAACAAAAAAAGTATTAAAGAGTGAACAAGATAATAAATACAAAATATGTTAGTATCAAGCATTAAAGTCCATATTGAGTTTACATTATGCTTATTCTTACACCATTAATGTAACCTTTTCACCTTGACATAATAAACTTAGCTAAACATAATGAAAGAAAGAAAAATAAATAAACCAAATAAGAACATAAATAAGATAAGAGTTAACTAAGTAAAGGAAAGGAAATGAAAGGCATAAACTTGATAATAATGAAAGCAAAGCATAAACATTACAAAAAATATAAAGAGAGAAAGCAAAAGCATGATTTTGATATGGAGACCAAAATAATGCATGACAAATGCCTCCTTTTATAGGCCAAAATTGGAAGCTATTGATTTGATGACTAATTGATGAGTGGGTGACCAACTCTTGACTTGGTGGCAATCTTTATCTTCTCTTATCTGCCCAAAATATCATTGATAGCGTCAAAATTAGAACTATTTAAAAGCATAAAAGTTGTAGGAAATTGTCTCAGCTTTCTTGTGTAAAACATTCAGGTCATTTAGACTTCCAGAACTCCAGTTATGGGTCAAACACTGGACAGTGCTTGGGTTGGAGGACAGATTTGGACTTCTTTGTTGTTGCTCCAATTTGGACTTGAAAATGACCTTTTTAGATCTTGGGCTCCATATAAAAGTTGTAGGCCTGTGTTTTACCTTTCCATCCATATAAAGTAGACCTAAATCTGAGATCTACAGCTCTAGATATGACCGAATTACCGAACAGTGTTCTGGTTTAGACTACACCGACATCTCTTTTCTAAGTTTGACCATCTCTTTGTCCTTTCAATTTCAGTTCTTAAATTCATCAATCAATTATTTTATTTATATGATAGGCCTGCATTTAAAATAAATATTTACCATAAATTAAAGATATCTTATATTATTAGATACTTTATTATAAAACATGTTTTAGTTAAGGAGTTATTGATACTTCAAGTGCAAAATAATGATATAAAACCTTGATAAAAATATACTTTTAAGTACTAATCATTATGTTCAACTAATTTGTATTAATCATTTTACTCTCAGGTACACCTAAAGCTCTCTCTTCTTTTATAGTCTCTTAAGCTTCATCTAAGATTGTGGATTTATCTCTATGTTAATCCATACACATTTACAAGTCCATAAAGTTATCAAATTTTGTCTATTCTTATTATTCTTTATCTTTTACTTTCTTTTTAGCTTTTATTTATTGTTTCTCTAAGCTCTTTTTCTATTTTGTGTAAAATAAATATTTAAAATTTGGTTACTCTACCTCCTAGTGAAAGTGTTGTTGGTTATTATTAGATGTATAAAATTAAGACTAATTTTGATAGGTCCATTGAGTGATACATAGCTAGATTGTTTGCAAAAAAAGTACTCTTAATATTATGATGAGACAGTTGCTTCTATTACAAAAATAACTACTATTTATACTCTTATTGCATAGCTTCAGTTTATCAGTGTCATATCTCTTAGCTTGATGTTAAAAATACCTTATTGAATGAAGATCTTAAAAAAAGAAGCTTATACGATGCCTCTTCGTAGTGTTTCACATAACTCTTGGTATGTTTATAAACTTAAAAAGGCGTTATATAGTCTCAAACAAATATCTCGTGCTTAGTTTGAGAAATTTTCTGTTGTGATCTTTTTTCTTAGATTTTTTTCTGGTAGTTATGATTTTGCTCTTTTTGTTAAGTACACTGATGCAAGTCATATTATTCTACCTTTATATATTGATAATATGATTATTATTGGTGATGACATTGATTATATTTCAGTTTTAAAGACATAGTTAACTAGATAGTTTAAAATAAAGGATTTGGATTCTCTATAATATTTATTGAATATTGAGGCGGTCTTCTCACCTAGAAGCTATCTTTTTTCTCCATCAAAATATGTTGCAGATATTCTTAAGTGGACTAGATTTATTGATAATAAAACTATAGATAATCTTATCAAGGTTAACACAAGGTATTTTTCTTCTAATGATTTATCTTTGTAAGATCTTATTTTATTTCATATTATTATTGTGAGCTTGGTATATCTTATTATTATTTGTCTAGATATTGCATATGTTGTTCATGTTGTTAGTCAATTTCTTACTTCTTTTACTACCGTTTATTGAGCAGCTATTATTTATATTTTATGATATCTTATGGATATGGTCTCTTAAAGTCATTTACTTTCATTTATCTTTTTCTTGTAGCTATATGTATACTTTGATGTTAATCTTGACAGTAATTCCACACATATATTACAAGTTTGTTATTGATTTTTATATTTTTTTAGGTGATTCTCTTATTTTTTGGAAAAGCAATAAACAATGTATTATTTCTCAATCTTTAACCAAAACAGAATATCATGCTATAACATCTACTACTAAATAGATTTTTTAATTATATTAGTTAGTTGGAGATATAAGAGTTTTTCTTTTTCATCCCCATCATATGTATTGTGACAAACTAGAGTTCTATTCAAATTATTCACAACTTATTTTTTCATGAATGAACTAAGCATATTGAAATCTATTGTTATCTTTCTTGTCATCATCTCAAGCATTGCACTATTACATTGCTTTTTATTTCTTTTTCTCTATAGATTAGAAATTTCTTTACCAAGTTATATTTTACTTCATGTTTTTATTTTTTAGTTGGTAAACTCTTGATACTTATAGCTGTTACATTGTGAATTTGAAGAAAGATGTTAAGAAATATATGGTTATTTTATTTTATTTATTAAAGTTAAAATAATATTTTAATTTTTTTTAGTTTAGGCTATATCTATTTTTTTTATATTTAGATTGAACTGATTCTCGTGAATTGTTGTGATTATGCATATCAATACAACCCTAACTTGGTTTTTTTTTTTGTTTTTTCGTTTTTGAAGAAGAGGGAGATGGAAGTGACAAGAAAGCATGCAAGGCGCAGTCGGGGGGTGGATATGGATATTCTTCGTCTACTGGAACAGGCAAATGCAATTAATTGATTGCTCATCAGTATTGTCATAATGATTTCGTTGACTATATATAATACCAGAAATCATTAATCAATGAATTCTGAAACAAGCAAGCTGTATCCTCTACAGGCTTTAGTAAAACAAAGGAAGGCCCATTCAAACGCGTATGTAGCCTCTTTAAAAACTGCCCGGCCCATAATACCGACGTCAAACAAAGTTGGGAGGCGTGGCATATCCATCTTCTGTTCTCCAGCTCCAGCTAAAGGAGGAAAAACCCTATTTCTTTCTCCTTTCTTTTTTTCCTGTTGAGATCTCAATCTCAGAGAAAGAGACAGAAGGGAGGATAGGGTTTAGGGTGTTTTCTATGTCTACTACACCAATGAATCAATTACTTCAACAAAATCACTAAACCTTCATTCAATTCATCAGGTACTTACTTCTTTAACCCAGATTAACTCTTAATTGTCGGACTTTCTTCTTCATCCATTCATTGCAATGATCCTATTTTTTATTTTTATTTTTATTTTGTATTTTTAAGCTCTGTTTCGATTTGAATAAACATTATTTATTCTCACTTAGAAAAATCTTATCTTTTTTATAATAGGTTAAACCCTGATTTTCTTATTATTATTATTATTGAACCGCCCTGACTTGGCTTGGCCGCTTCTTGCCATTCGTTACTACTAGAGATTGTTAGTTTCTGTTGAGTGAACTATTCACATTGCTACTGTTGACTTGAATCTCAAAGTTCAATCCTTTAATTTCCCTGTTATTTTTTATGGTTTATTCTTCGGTAGCTTTTTTTCATTTCCATGGAGTCGCCGCCTGAACGTTCTAGTCGTAGTTATGCAAAACGGGATGCAGAAGATAGCTCAGATGTCAAGAGTGACAGGGGTGGGGATGATGACGAGTGGGATGGAAGTGATAAGAGGAAATACAGGTCAACCAAGTCTAGGAAGTTCACCACTGGGGATGATGCTGAAGGATTTGATGGCAGTGGGAGAAGGAGAAGTTCTACTGGGGACAGGAGTGATTCTCGTAAGAGGGCCGGCGGCTGCAGCAGCACTGTGTCTATCAAAGCAGGCAGTGATGAAGATGATTACGAGACAAGAAAAGACACGCGCTCCAAGCAATTGAAGAAAAAGCAAGATGAAAGTAGTTTGGAAAAGTTGAGCAGTTGGTATCAGGATGGAGAATTAGACAACAAGCAGGGTGGAGGAGACAAGTCTGTGAGTAAAGGCCATGTTCAGCCTGATGAAAGTGAGAGAAGAAAATTGACATCAAAGATCTCAAAGCATGAGGGTTCCCGTACTGCAAGTAAGAGTAAAGAAGAAAGATCCCATGACGGGGAGAATGAGAAGGCACTAGATAGAGATATTAGATATTCAGAAAGGAAGGATAGCAGCCGAGAGAAAGGTCACAGTTCTGCTGAGGCAGGGAAAAACTCGAGGAGAAGGGGGGATGAATCTGACTCCAACAGGAAAGCTGAAGAAACTCTTTCTGAGAAGCCTGGTACCAGGAGTGGAAAGGTGTCTGATTCCAAGTACGAGTCTAAAGAAAGAAGTGTCAGAAATGAACCCAGCGAGAGTAAAAGCAGAGGTTTGGATTCAAACAGTGAAAAGGGCGTCAAAACTAGCAACAGAGATGACAGAAGAGTTGACACAGAGAGGGAGAAGTATAAGAGTAAAAGCAGGTCAGAAACTGCTGAAGAGGATAATAGGGCTAGTCCTCTTGCCCGTGAAGATAGATCAGGTCGGGAGACAATTGAGAAGCACCGAGAGCAGAGAACTCCTACCAGAAGAGATGCTGCTGAAAGCCATGAAAGGTCCTCCAATGCAGAAGAAGATGGAAACACTTGGACCAGAGACAAAGGTGCAAGAGAGGTAGGGCGCTCTAACAGGTCCAAGACTCCCGAGAGAGGCATTAGGCGTCAACAAGATTTGCAACAATCTGAAATAGAGAATGAAAGAAATGTTGACATGAGACGAAAGGATCAAGAAAAGGATGGCTACAGGGATGATAGATCAAAAGGCAGGGATGACAGCTGGAATGACAGGAATAGGGACAGGGAAAGTTCCAAAGAGAACTGGAAAAGAAGGCAATCCTCTGGTAATGATAGAGAGCCTAAAGACGGAGACATTGCTTATGATCGTAGCAAAGACTGGGAGCCAAGACATGGTCGTGAAAGGAATGACAATGAAAGACCTCATGGTCGAAGCAGGGGTGAAGCTGTGAAAACCTCATCGAATTTTGGCATTTCAAATGATAATTACGATGTCATAGAGGTCCCTCTTGATCATGGACGACCAGAGTCTAGATCCAACTTTGCTAGGAGGATTGAGGCCAATCAGCTATCTGATGGAAGATCAGCACCGAACACTGAAGAGTGGGCATATATGCTAGATGAAAGGGCAAGAAGGAATGACTCACCTTTTGTTGGAGACTCAAAGGAAAAGTATATGGATGATGATGCACCTATGCGAGATCCGAGTTCTTGGAGGGATGACATTGAGTACCAGGGAGGGAAAGGAAGAGGCCAGAAAGGGGCCATGCCCGGTCACAGTGGTGGCGGTCAAAGTTCGAGCAGTGGTTCACAGCCTACATATGGAAACCAGGATTCAGGCTCCTTTGGCAGAGGTTCTCTACAGGGATTAAAAGGGAGCAGAGTAGGGAGAGGAGGAAGGGTGAGGCCTGCTGGGAGAGATAATCAACAAGTTGGACTCCCATTGCCTTTAATGGGATCACCTTTTGGGCATCTTGGAATGCCACATCCGGGAGCACTTCAGCCACTTGCTCCTAGTATGTCACCTGCTCCAGGTCCTCCAATTAGTCCAGGTGTCTTCATTCCACCATTTTCTCCACCAGTTGTTTGGGCTGGTGCCCGAGGTGTGGAGATGAATATGCTAGGTGTCCCCCCTGTTCTCTCTGCTGTTCCTCCTGGGCCAGCAGCCCCAAGATTTTCCCCTAACATGGGAACTCCTCCATCTAACCCTGCTATCTTTTTTAATCAAGCAGGACCTGGAAGGGGAGTGCCTCCGAGCATATCTGGTCCTGGTTTTAATGCTTCTGGACCAGTAGGACGAGGAACACCACCAGATAAAAGTGCTGGGGGTTGGGTTCCTCCTAGAAATAATGGTCCTCCAGGCAAAGCCCCTTCAAGAGGAGAACAGAATGATTACTCGCAAAATTTTGTTGATACTGGTATGCGACCCCAGAACTTTATCAGAGAGCTGGAGCTGACCAGTGTTGTAGAGGATTACCCCAAGCTTAGGGAGCTTATACAGAAAAAGGATGAGATTGTGGCTAAATCTGCATCTCCTCCTATGTACATGAAATGTGACCTGCATGAGTTTGAGCTGTCTCCAGAGTTCTTTGGAACCAAGTTTGATGTTATTTTGGTGGACCCTCCATGGGAGGAATATGTTCACCGAGCTCCTGGTGTTGCTGACCATATGGAGTATTGGACGTATGAAGAAATACTAAATCTTAAGATTGAGGTATTCTGTTTCCACTCTTTTTGTTGCAGTTGCCTTTCCATAGAAAATGAGTTGTATTTTCATATCCACGATTAAGTATTAATTGTTCTGGTTGCTAAAGAGTAATCACATGCCATTAAAGCACAGTTGGAGTGCAAAGGTTATTCATATTGGCATCCAGGGCCATCAGTTGCTAATGTACATAGTATAGATATGAGCTACATGTTCTTTTGTAATAGATGATGTATTTCCTGTCTCTCTTGACTTATCTAAAGCTTTTTTTTTTCCCTTCATGTGTTTACAGGCAATAGCTGATACACCTTCTTTTATCTTCCTCTGGGTGGGTGACGGTGTTGGTCTTGAGCAAGGCCGACAATGTTTAAAGAAGGTATTAATTAAGCCATTAGATTTAGAATCTGACACTGTCTTACCCTTTTATTTTCTGCCGCCCCTCATATATGCTCTGTACAATCAGTTGTAACTTCAGATTTATAATTTTACATGCTGTAAAGTCATTCATATTTTGTACTATTTAAGTCAGTTTTTCAATACCGCAGTGGGGATTTCGGAGATGTGAGGATATTTGTTGGGTGAAGACCAACAAAAGCAATGCAACTCCAGGGCTGCGACATGATTCTCATACTTTGTTTCAGCATTCAAAGGTTGGCATTTGATTCTTCTTCTGCTTTGTAAAAGTGGGCAGCTTTCCCCGAGTTCGACACACAAGTGCATTTGTTTTTATTCTTGACTGTTTATTGCCTTGTCCTTGAAATGAAGGAACACTGCTTGATGGGCATAAGAGGAACAGTTCGCCGCAGCACAGATGGTCACATAATCCATGCTAACATTGATACTGATGTAATTATTGCTGAGGAACCTCCATACGGTCAGTGTAATTCCTTGTTGAAATTCTTGGCTCTGGTTTTTCTTAGTCCATTCAAACTCATAACTTTCTGGTTTACTGCTATTTGTCTGTCTGTTATCACATTATAGTAAAGGTTTTAGTAATTAACCCATTCATTCCTCATTTTTTGTTCTTATTTCATTTGTAATAATATCCGACATAAATGACATTTATTATACTTCTTCAAGTGGAACTTTACAGGACTGTTGTAAATTATAACCTTGAACAGGTGGACACTGTGAGCCTTGTTAGTGTTTTTTATGCCATTGGAATTGCAGGTTCAACTCAGAAGCCTGAAGACATGTATCGGATAATTGAGCATTTCTCTCTAGGCCGCAGAAGGCTTGAGCTCTTTGGTGAAGATCACAATATTCGGTCTGGGTGGCTGACTGTTGGTAAAGGATTATCTTCATCAAATTTTAATTCTGAGGTACAATATCTTTCAAACACATGATTACTTCTAATGCAACACTCATTTGCTCTTAACGTGGACTATCTTAGTGAAGCTGACCAACAACCTAAGATTTCACTTGTGCAATGGAATAGCAATTTTGAATATTATGACTTATCTGATACTTGTTTAATAAACATGAGCACTTTGTTCATGCTTGTCATTCTAGTCCCCTTGGTTTGCTAACCTAGATTTGGTAACTTACAGGCATACATCAAGAATTTTTCTGACAAGGATGGCAAAGTTTGGCAAGGTGGGGGTGGAAGAAATCCTCCTGCCGAGGCACCTCATCTTGTTGTGACTACTCCTGATATAGAGGCTCTGCGTCCCAAGTCACCAATGAAGAACCAGCAGCAGCAGCAGCAGCAATCAGTATCTATTTCTCTGACAACAGCCAATTCCTCCAGCAGAAGGCCCGCAGGAAACTATTCTCCCCAGAATCCAAGCACTTTCGGTTTAAACCAAGAGGCCACTGGCTCCAACCCTTCAACTCCAGCCCCTTGGGCATCATCACCAATGGAAGGCTATAGAGGACGAGAAAGTGGGAATATGCCTTCAGAGGACAAGGTTTTTGATATGTATGGTTATAATGGGCAGGCAAATGCAGATTATCAAGATTTTGAATCTCACAGGCCTATGAAGTTGTTGTAAAGAAACACTTGGGCATAAATTTGCCCTGTATTGTGCCTATATTTTTTCCCAGTCAATTCGCCAAATATAAATGGAAAAGAAAGTATCTGGTCTTTTTTCTTTAAAAAAAAATATCTATATCTGCAACAATAAGGGGGACAGGAATGGACGTCAGGTAATTGGAATAGTTCATAATAAATTGAGCTTTCAAGCCTTATGAACTTCACAAGAAGTCGTACAACAGTGTAATATTTCCTAGTATTGTGGCCAAAAATAGGTTAAAAGGACGTTGCAGATAGAAGAGCTTCTGTGAGGATGCTGATAATTTAATAGTTTTCCACCAATTTATTCTCTTGTGCAGAGTTCAGCAGCATGATACAGGAACGAATGTTATTGAATCGACTTGCCGCAGCTTCTGATTTGCAACTGCATTCCATGCTACTATAGAAGTGAGACCACATTTTTGAGAAAGGCATACCGCGGATCGACTTGTGGAGCATCAAATCAAGGGAATCTTTATATTTGATAGCATGCCCATCTAGCTTTGAAGAGGCCGAGTGCCCCTCCATCACTTGAGATTGTCAATGGCCTATGGAGTCTCTCTTTAAGAAACATCACATTGTTGCAGAACAACGTGACGTGATTCTTTCCCAAAGCTTGAGTAACACCCAAAAAAACAAACATATTTTACAACAGATTCCAGAAATCCTTGACTTGTCAACTGTCATAAGGGTCCTCTTTATATAGAATTTCTAAAGGCTACTACTACTCTCTTGCGGTTTCACTCCGCCACCCCCACAAGAAAAAGTGTAGAGTTCCATTGCCCTCTTTCGTGGACATCAGATTAATATTTGTGCTTTGGTAGTCTCCTGTCCGACTTCAAATATTGGACAGCTGTAGCAGTTCTTCTCCATTGTGTATCCTATGAGTTTTGTACTTCATTTTCCAGCTTTTCTGGAGGCGGCATTGCTTTGGTAGTCTCTGATGCCAGTTCATACAAGAGATGTTAAGACATTTAGAAAGTCGGGAAGATAGATAAAGGTGACGAGAACAGATTTATCGGGAAGAATGTCCAACCTTGTGGCTGAGGCTGAACTTGAGGTTCCAACTGACTTTCTGCTGGAAGGGGGGGTGGCTGGCCCTGTTGTTTAGCAGTAGATGCTTTTAGCTGCTCTTCTGTGATTTTCAAGTACTCTTCACTGGTATACGATCTGTTTGGGGATGGAGCACCATCTAATTTTTTTCCAGCAAAAAACAATGTTTCATCAATTGTCAAGTGAAGCCACCGTTACTTGCTATAGGAAAACAGAACCCACAATATCTTGTAGTGAATTTAATTATTCAATCATGAAAATAACCACAACTTGAGTTGATTAAAGGCAACATCTAAAGCTATTCAGACCAGACTCACAAAGCAACCATGGTTATTCCCATCAAATAAAGTGCATGATCAGCTTTGGAGCACAGTTGTTAGACCCAATCCGGGAATTGACCTGAAAATGAGCCCAGGTCACTGGGTCAACCCAATAGGTCAATGACGTACTACATTAAAAATAATTGACCACAACGAATTAGAACATGCCTCAATTTCAACACAATTTTTAATTAATCCAAAAAACAAATAACAAATTTAAAACTTATAAGTTCAAATTAACAAACATAATTTAAATATGCAAAATACAAATCAAATTTAACGTCTCAAATATCTAAATGACAACAATCACAATCCATAATTAAAAAAACACAAGTTCCTTCACTTTTGGAGATAAATTAGTTGAATGAACATATCATCAGGAGGAAAAAAATTTTGGCTTATAGTTCAACCAGCCAGATTTGAAATAGGTTTGGCCGAGTCACCCAGATCACTAAAAACCTAGTTGAATCAAATAGGTTTTGCCAGGTCAAAAGTCTTGGCCGATTCAACTAGCAACCTAGCTCGGGTTAGGCTCTGGTCCTGGGTTTTTCAGGTCAACCCACAAGGCCGAAACAGTTTTTACAATTATGCACTGAAGGAAGGTTTTAAATGATCACTTATTTTGACCTGAGACATGGATTCTTAAACCTCAGGCAATTACAAGGTTTCAGCTGCTGGTTCAAGGAAATATGTTTGCTTATACTCTTCAAAAAAAAAGATTGAAATGTTCAGATATGATTGATAAACTCTAAGAAGAAAACTGTCAAATCCCATGAAAACTGTTATGGGGGTGTGTCATTTGATAATTTGATTGAAATATTGATCTATTCTATAACTTTCAACTTGGAAAAATCCTTCATTTTTAGTTTATAGCAATTAGCAACTGTCAGTGAAAACATACCGACTTTCATAAGAGTTTACATATGCTAAAATAATAGCATCTGTAACAGCTAACTACCACTAACAACTCATGCTCTAAAGACTCTAGCTAAGAGATCCAAAAGTTCAGTGATGAATAAGCTTCCAGTAAATGTCAATTTACTAATTAACAGACAACTATGAATCACAAGAAATCAAATATCACCATCTGATACCATTAATGCCATTGCAGGCAATAGTAACTATTACTGAAAGAAGACCACTCACTGGGGTCGGCCACAGTTGTAGAAATATTGATGCTGCCAGCTGATGAAGGGGTTGAGGCAGTGTTTGTTATCTTGGAGTTATAGGTGTTTTGTGTTTGATTTGAAATTTCATCAAGCCCAATCTCTCGCTCAAGGGTGCTCTTGAATTCCCTTGACACCTCCTATATTAAATATAAATGGTTGAATCAATTATATAGAATTGCACAAATAATTGGCCGAAACAATTCCATTGGACAAGGTTTTAAGGACCAACCTGGAGTTCTTTAATTGTGGGTTGAAATGCACGCAAAGTTTTCCCTAGATTGCGTGCAACCTGCATTTAGATAATTCAATGGAGACATCACAAGTCTTTTTTTTTTTTTTTTCAAGACAACAGGAAAATTAATAAAACATGCACTCTGATACTTAGTAGTTAATTGCTACAGAGACACAAAAGGCAGTAGAGAGTCGTCAAGATGCCCGGAAAGGGTTCTAAATTCAGTTCTTAATGTTGCAGTAAACAACCTACAAATTCATGGCAAATAAAAAGGCGTAGGTTTTGCTAATTTTATTGCCTTTATATGCAAATTGCATAGAGCTCAAAAACGTAGGTAACTGATAATCTAACAACCCTAGCCTCCTAGAATTGTTAAAACAGTATGGTAAGCACAAGTTATTCATACGCAGAAATGAATTAACAAAAGAAACAATATGATGCGTATCTCGTGTTGCATTAACCCTTTTAGCATTACCAGACTATTTGCTACAGAAAATATTTAGAAAGGGCAAAGCACCAATTAAGAGATTCAACAAACCTCAGCAAGACCTTTGGGGCCAAAAACTAGCAAAGCCACCACACCAATAACCAGAGCCTCAGGAGCTCCAACACCAAACAATGATGCATGAATCAACTTGCCCTTACACCTTCGTTTCCTCTCTGTATCACAACCACATTTCATCGAGAATCGAAACAAGAAAACAAGTAAGCAAGACCAAATGAACCCATTTGAAACCTAAATGAACCAGACCCAGATAAATAAATAAAAAAGGCAATACCTTTGCGAATAAATCTTGGATGAGTTGAAATATGCAGATGCTTTAAACCACTCCATTGAGAGAAAGGACCAAGACCCGGTAGAGCAATCGATGTAGAGAGAGCAAATTGAGGTGCTTTATGGCAAGGAATGAAGGAAGAGGAGGGGAGGGGGTAAAGAGCTGATTTTGTGCTTGTTGAAGTCGAACATAAGGGTGCTGAGGTCGAAATTAGGGATGCCATTACCATGAGGAGTTTTTATGGGATTCTTTTAAGGAGGGTTTTAGTCATATGTGCATTATCTATCCTGAATGGAAGGAAACTATGACTGCAGACAGATTCTCTTCATGTTCCGCAATCACCATACCATGTTTTCCTTTTGACATTTGCTGCTAGGAATTGCGTTTCTGTCTGGATTTAAAAGCGCATCGAGTGAAAAAAACACACAATATTAATAATACTCTTTTTACTTTTTAGTTAGTGCTGGTATTAAAAATAAAAAGAATCGAATCTAATTGTTTGGGCTGGTTTGGGTCCAAGTCCGGGCCCACCATTGGGAATCTAGAGCTAGCCCAAAAGCACAGGATTTCATTGTCCAGATCTTGGGCTTCACCTTGGCAAATCAGCGATGCAGTTGTTTGGAAAATGTTTGGGTTGCGACCCAAAATAGAAAAAGTGTTTTGGACCTGGTCTGTTGCCCTTACCCTTAGTTTTAAATTATTTTTTTTATATAATAATATAAAAAAATATATATTAATTTTAACTAAAATGTATTATAAAAAATAACTTCATCCCGTACTTATTGCTAATTGTGGATGGTATTTGGATCTTTTAAAGCAGGCAAGGCGAGGTTTGCCGCACGCTCTCTTTTTTTGTCTCTTCACGCAGTCGATTTCAGAACTGATTTTTCCTAAAACGACAGCTCCTCCTCCACCACCAACCAAGATGCCAACTGGAGAGCTCCGCTACCCATCGCCGCCGCCAGTAAATTCCACCACCACGGTGGACGACGAGGCGGGCTTGGTGTGGGCCCAGATAAAAGCAGAAGCGAGGCGCGACGCGGAGTCAGAGCCAGCTTTGGCCAGCTACCTGTATTCGACAATCCTGTCTCACTCGTCTTTGGAGAGGTCGCTCGCCTTTCATTTAGGGAACAAGCTCTGCTCTTCAACGCTTCTCTCAACTCTCTTGTACGATCTCTTCCTCAACACTTTCACTTCAGACCCTTGTCTTCGCGCCGCTGCTGTTGCTGATCTTCGCGCAGCACGTGTTCGTGATCCTGCTTGCGTTTCTTTCTCTCACTGCCTCCTCAATTACAAAGGTTTCTTGGCTTGCCAGGTAAAATATTATCCTAACTATTCTTAATAATCATACTATTTTACATTTAAAATATTACAAAGGTTTCTTGGCTTGCCAGGTAAAATATTATCCTAACTATTCTTAATAATCATACTATTTTACATTTATTTTTAATTGATTTTCTCGTTTTATGATTTTGTCAGGCTCATCGAGTTGCTCACAAGTTGTGGACTCAGTCTCGTAGGCCACTGGCGTTGGCTTTACACTCTCGAGTCTCTGATGTTTTTGCCGTTGATATACACCCAGCAGCAAGGATTGGCAAAGGTATACTTTTTGATCATGCAACCGGGGTGGTCATTGGTGAAACAGCAGTTGTTGGGAACAATGTCTCCATTTTGCATCATGTTACGCTTGGAGGAACAGGGAAAGCCTCTGGGGATCGCCACCCCAAAATCGGTGACGGAGTGTTGATTGGAGCTGGTGCCACCATTTTGGGGAATATACAGATTGGGGAAGGAGCAAAGATTGGAGCAGGTTCAGTAGTGCTAATTGATGTGCCCCCTCGAACCACTGCGGTTGGAAATCCTGCAAGGTTAGTGGGAGGAAAGGAAAAACCAGCTAAGCATGAGGAATGCCCTGGAGAATCCATGGATCATACTTCATTTATCTCTGACTGGTCAGATTATATTATTTGATAGGTTTTGTTCCATACTTGTCCCTTGTTTATGACATTTGCTACTTTATAAATAATTCTCCTTATCCGGTTGGTTTTGATATGTTGATGTTCAGCATGATATGCCTCCTTGTCTGTAGTTGAGCATATTTGTATTGGGCAACGAACTGTAATGAAGAACCTTGACATTTTTATATATTTTTTTATCTTTTGAGCTCTTCCATCATTTTGCGTGGTTTTAGATTATCTATGATATATCCAGATTCAGTAACAACTAGTTGCGGGGCTCATTTTGTAACCATTTTATTCTTAAGTAACTATAGAACTGCAGTACCAACTAGTCGAGGCGATTGAAGAGGCACTCTATTCTTATAGAGTTCGTGATTGATTGAGGAAAGAGGTTTCGGTCCTGCTTGGTAAGGTTATTGAGTTGCCTGAGGTGTATATTGGTGCTAACAGATGGCATTCCATTCCTAACAAGAGATTTCTTCTGTGACCATGAAGATTTGCAAGGAGAAGTTTTTGAGGTATGGTGGAAAGCGTTTCTGACAGTATTTGGAAGATGCGAGAGCCGGGAAAGCTAAGATTGTGGCAGTTGTATTGCTTCCACGTGAGATCATTCATTCTTTGAATGATTATGATGGTGGAGAAGTGGCAGAGCTGCGTTGGACGAGGATGGTTGATGATTTATTGCAGAGAGTGAGGCTGAAAAACTGTTTGGATGTTTGTGATGTGTCTGGTAGCATGTTTGAGACTCCAACGGAGGTTTGTGTGGCACTTGGTGTGTTGGTATCAGAGTTGAGTGAAGAGCCATGGTAGGGTAAGCTTATTACCTTGAGAAATAAACTTCAAATGGTTGAAGGAGATGTACTTTGTAAAAATACGGGCATGAACACTAATTTCAAAACCTTGTCTGATATTATTCTGCAAGTTTCTATCAAAGGAAAATTGAGGGTGTATCTAACGATCTAGAGGGTGTCTGTGTTTAGTGACATGGATTTTGATCAAGCTTCAACCAATATTTGGGAAACAGGCTATCAAGTAATTGTGAGGAAGTTGACAGCAAAGGGGTATGGTAATGGCATATGGAATGATCAAACAAGCTATCAATTATCTGCTTTATTTCTTAAGCTATTACCCAAAAAAATTTACAAAAACAGAGAAGAGAAAAGAAAGGGAGAGTATAATCAATTTCTTTCCATGTGTTCTTGAAAAGAACATTGTTTTTTTCTTTTGCAGGTTTAATGAAGATTACCAATCCTCGCCGAGCCTCTTTTTAATTGATGTGCCATATCTGAATTCAAAATGTCTTGAATTAAGGGCATAGTCTTTGCAATTCAGCAAGACATCCCGTATATTGGCATGGTGTTCGCAAATTGCAATCCAGAAAGACTAGTGATATTGTAAAGAAAGGAAAAGAACATTCGACTTGATCGAATTGACTCAAATAAAAATCCGTGGGCCAAAAAGAGTGGCAGTCCCAGCATTAATTGAAGAAACATTATATAGAAATCGGATCATTGCCCCCACGTACTACAGAATTGAATCACTGATAGTGTTTGTGATGCAGTTTGTGATTTTCAGTCAAACATGAGCGCAGCAAAATAGCAGGACTTGCTACGAGGCTTATTGCAAGGCTCTGCTTTCTTCCTTGTGCAGGGGTCTTGCTGCTTGGCATTTCTTGTGTCCAAACGTTGGAATCTTCTGCGGAGCTGTTTCTCTAAATGGTTGTCATTGTCACGCATGCTTGCACCTTATCTATTATTGCAAATGAGTTTTCGTTCCCAGCATTAATTTTGACTGACACTGATAAACCATTTCTCAAAATTGTCGATTTCATTAAATTTAACTCTCTTAAGAAGTTTCCTTCTTTCCTTTGAAAATAAAAGGCGAGGCAAGCTCGACACTCAGCTGGCACCCCCTCGCATGGACCTTCCCCGGACTCAACTCCTCTGATCATGGAGTTGTAACTCTACTAAACAAAGAGTCAATAATGGTGGCTCTAATTACGTATCGTGGCCATTCAATACATATAAAGGTCCCGAGTCATTAGCATACAAACTTCATCACATGATCACTTGACAATAATTATATATATATATATATATATAAAACATGTACCGCTGAAAAGCCAAGATGAGATAAAAATTAAACAATGACAGATGACAGAAAATATTTTTTAACTGGTCCCGCTAGAAATTGAGAATGGACAGGAAACGTTTCCATGACGAGTTGCGGGGTGAGAATTGTTTGGACTTTTCTCGTTATCTAGATTCTATGAGTGTCCTCGACACGTTGCCATGACGTGTTCCCGGGCGTCTCTCTCAGGAAACCAATTCTCTTGCCAGACAGCTAGCTAATGTGTGATTCACTGATTCGTTTCACTTCTCTTCGTTTACTGATAAAAGGCCTTCCATAGAACAAACCCTGTCCACCCTGTCCACCCCATCACCAGAAAGTAGTTTTTTGGGGACTTTTTAAGGTTCTGTCTTATATTTGGCAGTGACAGAGTCTCTTAACTCCATTCACTGCAGATTATTAGCATTCCCTTTTTGTTCAGGTGAGATCATGTTTCTTTCCCTGCTCTTAACATCATGATGTTTGTTTTCTGTTTCATTTTTTATATAAAAAGTTTCTGGATTCAGCTTTGTTAATTGGAATGGTTTGAGCAACTGTCCAATGTTGCTGGGTCATGTACCAGTACACTGACATTATCGTGTGTTCTAAACATGAAAAATGATTCTGTTTTGGTTTACATTCTTGTTATTCAATTCCAATGTGCACCCAGACTCTTGTTCTATTGCGTACTATGTTATTTGAGATCGAGATCCAACTTCGATCAATCTTCAATGACATAGACTTTAATTGGATGTTTCTTTAGACCCTTTTTGAGTTCTGTAACTTTGCTTTCAGCGCTGGATCTTCAAGCTTTAATAGAATCCTCTTGGTTTTCAGTTCTGGCGCTTCGTTTTTGGCAAGAAAATGTTGTGCTATCAAATGGATTTTCTTGAACTATAACATTTTAAGCCTTTGGAGATTGAGAAAAGATAAGGAATTGAATCTCATCAAAACTGCAAACATGGCTATGGCTCCGACAATGAAAGTAGTTCTAGGATCAATTGCTTTTGCAATTTTCTGGGTACTTGCAGTTTTCCCTTCTGTCCCTTTTCTACCAGTTGGAAGAACTGCAGGTTCCCTCCTGGGAGCTATGCTGATGGTTGTGTTTCGTGTCCTAACCCCAGATCAAGCATTTGCTGCAATTGATCTGCCAATCCTTGGTCTTCTCTTCGGGACAATGGTTGTCAGTGTTTATCTTGAGAGAGCAGATATGTTCAAATACTTAGGTAAGTTGCTCTCCTGGAAAAGTAAGGGAGCCAAGGACCTGCTTTGTCGAATTTCTGTGATTTCTGCCATTTCAAGTGCTCTTTTCACTAACGACACCTCTTGTGTGGTTTTGACTGAGTTTATATTGAAAATTACAAGGCAACATCGTCTCCCACCTCATCCATTCCTACTTGCCCTTGCCTCAAGTGCAAATATTGGGTCTTCAGCTACTCCAATTGGCAATCCTCAAAACCTGGTTATAGCTGTTCAGAGTAAGATTGCTTTTGGGAGTTTTGTTTTCGGAATTCTACCGTCTATGCTCGTGGGAGTTGTTGTGAATATTCTGGTCCTTATGTGCATGTACTGGAAGTTGTTGTCTTCTGCTCAGAAGGATGAAGAAGATGCAACTGCAGAGGTTCTTGCAGATGGCGATGTCTTTTCTCATCGTTTTTCACCTGCCACCATGTCACATCTTACATCTTCAAATTCTCTAGAATGGAATTCTAGACTAGAATCAGTGAACATGCAAAGTTCTCCCACTATGAATGGTCAAGTAAACCATGTTGAGACTCTTAGAAACCGAGTAAATTCAACTGAGAACGAAATCCACAGTGACTCTTCTGGTGTATACGAGTCTGCAAGAAATTCGAGTGCATCAAAAGAGATAACAAATGATGCTTCTTCCCAGAAAAGAGCCGAAACTGTCTCTTCGAGGATAGAGTCAATGGATAGATTGAGAGATTTATCATCAATGCAGTTTTCATCAGGAGGCTTTGCCACAAAATGGAAAAGGACGCTGTGGAAATCATGTGTTTACCTTGTTACCATAGGCATGTTGATTGCATTTTTTTTGGGTCTGAACATGTCATGGACTGCACTTACAGCTGCTCTTGCTCTTGTGGTTCTTGATTTCAAGGATGCTCAACCATGCCTTGAGAAGGTAAATTCTACTATCAATGTGCTCTTTTTTCTCCATGTTATTAATGGAGTTGTTCACGTTGATGTCTTGAAGAGCCTGTAGTAATCCAAGTTGGTTTCATCTTTGACCAGGTCTCGTATTCCCTTTTAATTTTCTTTTGTGGAATGTTCATCACAGTTGATGGCTTTAACAAAACTGGAATTCCAAGTACTCTGTGGGACTTCATGGAGCCTTATGCACGCATAGATCATGCTACTGGAATAGTAATTCTTGCCCTTGTCATACTTGTGCTGTCAAATTTTGCTTCAAATGTACCAACTGGTATGCGTTCCTGCCCCTTGAAACTCTGGTTTTTTAATTTGAACCAAAGAATTCTGCTTCTTGGTTAGCTGTTTGCAACTTTATTTGGTAGCTCTTTTGTTGGATGAGTAATATACTTAGCTGCAATTCCTTACAACTAAGAGGATCTTGTTCAACATTTTTGTGCATTTAATAGTGAACTGACTTTTGTATGACGCATTATGGTAGCTAGGTTCTGTAACAAATAGAAAAACAAACCTTAAACTGGGATACTAATTATTTCAATGCTGAGCGGCCCTCAATCTAGCATAGTGGTGCCAACTACCATTGGAGACACCTCCAATAAGCAGCTAAATGCATCTTATGAGATTAGCTCGTCTAACAAAAGTTCCTATGGAATCTCTACTAGTAAATTGGAAAGAATAAGGCCTCAAGATGTGGTGGAACACTGGATTTGTTTGAGAACACGAAATGGTCAATAATGACCCTCTGAAACTGCATTTCTTTTCCTTACGATTCTTGTGAGATCTGCCAATGCTTAAGTCTGTATTTGCAACATTGTAGGCTTTTCTGTATATTGACCGGTTCTACTTCATGCATAATGCAAAATCTGCATTTGTAGTGATTAGCAAGATGGTCCCTCACAAGGCTAAAACAAAATTTTCTTTTAGCAAGTTTTGAAAATTTGCTAAAATAATATTTTTAGTTGCAGCATTTTAACAAACCAATTTGGAGTAGCTTTATAGTTGCTTATCATTGAACCTGTTTATATTGTTAGTTCTCTTGCTTGGAGGACGGGTAGCAGCCTCAGAAGCTGCAATGTCAGCTTCTGATGAGAAGAAGGCCTGGCTCATCTTAGCTTGGGTGAGCACAGTAGCTGGGAACCTTTCACTATTGGGATCAGCTGCCAACTTGATAGTCTGTGAGCAAGCTCATCGCGCCGCACACTTTGGTTACGACCTATCTTTTTGGAAGCACCTTAAATTCGGAGTTCCATCTACTATTATTATTACTGCCATTGGTTTAACACTTATTAGATGATACTTGTGCTATTAAGCTAGAAAAGTCCATATTTCATGTATAGTTTTTTGGCTCCAAAGATAATAGACCCCGGGTGTATCAAATTGGGTGTTCTTGAGAAATGTGGGTCCGTATTTCTTTCCTTCAACATGTATCAGCTCAAGGCCATGAATTTTTTTATTTGGATTTGACAGCCATCTACGTCCCTAACTCTGCTGCTTCTTGAACAGTTGTCTGCGGACGCATCAGCATACCTGACCATCTATTTCGAGTGACCCTGACATATTGAACGGACATTTTAGCAATATGAAAATCATATTGCATTTTATAAATTCTAGTTTGCACTGAAAATGTCAATCTGGCTGGTAGAGTACGCATATAGCCCTTCATTTATTTGCTGTGCGGTCCACTTGTTTCCATTGATCCTATCCCAGTCTCAGGAACCTAATAATCTCACAAATATCATATCTACTGTTGGATGGAAAATAACTTGTAATTACCAGTGCTTCTCCTGCTTTGACAGATAGTTATATTTTTCACCTATATGATTAGGCTCAAGCCTACTGGCTACACTACAAGTAAAGCTATTAACCATCCATTTATTAGACACGACTTTGTGTAATAGCTAGTGAATGTTTTATTCACTTGGACTTGCATGTTATGCTGGCTACAGTTCTGTTTGACTTTAAAGTGCTATTTAGATTTTAGGTCCCCTGCTTTCCTATCAAAATACAGAAGACTTCACCAAAATGTCACTGGGATACTGGCATTTTTCAGAAAAGCAGCTGACTCGTGTTTTGATATGTTAAGGTGTCATCTTTCATTTTATGAGTAAAATTTTTTTATTTGTTGATTGGAAATGCTATATATTCCTTGATGGGTAATTGGGTATTGTTTGATCGAGGCACTGAGCAAAATTCAGAATGTCATCGGGTTCTTATTATTATAGGATGGTTGTTTTTATTACTTCAACAGGAAATAATTTTCTGTCATCTTCTAATAGTTCTTATTATGTGAACTACTGTTGATTGGCTGGTCTTGTTCTATTTTGAATGTGAATATCAAGGTTTCTCAGTTGCAAAGTAGATGGCAATGGCTCCTTTAGGGAAACTGGTTGGAGGCACATTTGCCTTGGCACTATTCTGGGTGCTGGCAGTTTTCCATGCAGTACCATTGCTGTCAATTGGGAGGACTTCAGGGTCTGTTTTAGGGGCTATACTCATGCTTATTTTCCAAGTCCTGTCTCGTTTTCAAACATATGCTTCCATTGATCTTTCAATTCTTGGTCTTCTCTTTGGAACTATGGTTGTGAGTGTTTTATCTTGAAAGACTAGATGCATTTATGTACTTAGGCAAATTGCATTCATGGAAGAGGCAGCGAAGGATTTAATTTGTAGAGTCTGCTTATTATCTGCCATTTTAAGTGCATTCTTCACTAATGACACTTCTTGCATGGTCTTGACTGAATTTGTACTCAAAATTTCAAAAAATAAAATAAAATCTCCAACCTTAACCTTTGTTGGTTGCTTTTGCCTCAAGTTCAAATTTTGGGTCATCAGCTTCTCCAATTGGCAACCCTCAAAACCTTGTTGTTGCTGTAAATGGACAGATTTCTTCCTGGGCTTTCCTCATTGAAACTTCCCCTGCAGCTTTCGTAGGAGTTTAGTCATTGCTATACTTACCCTATGTATGTACTGGAAAAAACAATCTTCACATTATAGGGATGAAGAATATGCAGATGGGGAAATTGTTGCTGATGATGACATGAGTTTCTACAGATTTTCGCCTGGCACAATATCACATTTCACATGCTCAAACTTTCAAGAAAGAAGCTCCAGGTTGGATATGCAAGACTTGCCTTTCATTCATGGGAATTCAGCTTTTTTTGAAATGTTGAGACACTGATCTGATGCTAGTGAGAGTAACATGTTCAGGATCCCCATTTTTATGTTAGAGTATGCAGGAAACTTAAGTGCATGCTCAAAATGGAAAATCATATTGTGGAAATCTTGCGTATACCTAGTAACGTAACTGCTGGAATGTTGATTGCCTTGATTATGGGAATGAATATGTCATCGACTGCAGTTGCTCTAAAGGTTCTTGATTTCAATGATGTCAGCCATGCCTAGAGAAGGCATGACACTGAACTGGCTAGCTACTTCTGTTGTTTGCTACCTGCTTCTCTCTTTAGTTAATGGAAATTGAACATTTCCCATGGCGATTCTTCTCACGTATGTCCAGAAGTCGTATTCTCTTTTGATTTTCTTTTGAGGGAGATTTATGACAATTGAAGGCTTTAACAAAACTGGAATACCAAGCTCTTTGTGGGAATTCATGGAGCCCTTTGCACAAATTAACCATGCTAGTGGGACAACAACCCTTGCAGTTGTCATCCTTATCCTCTCAAATATGGTATCAAATGTATCAACTGGTATGTCGATACTTTTTCCTCCAGGCCCTAGTTTATCTGTTGAATGATATTGGCAATTTGGCATAGAACAAAATTCTGCTGATCAATGGAACTTCATACATAATGCAATACGTTATCCATTTTTGGGGCATTGTTACAATTATGACTGAAACAGATACGCACACAAGATGTTTATTGTAACTACGCTGATTATCTCAGTTCTCTTACTGGGGGCACAGATGGCATGACTTCTTCACACATTATCATTGGCTGCTTGTATTTCACCGGAATTACGTGAAGAAATCATGGCTGATTTTGGCATGGGTGAGCACTGTGGCTAGTAACCTCCTACCGCTGGGTTCAGCTGCCAACATGATAGTGTGTGAACAGGTTGGCCGTGCCCCACTTCTTGGTTACAATCAATCTTTCTAGCGCCATCTCAAATTTGGAGTCCCTTCCACTTCTATAGTCATTGCTATTGGTTTAACAAACATTAGATAGTTCCTCCTTTTAATGTTGTTGTTAAGCTGAGAAAATGTCATGCTACAGTTGCTGATTCATTCTATTCTTGTCAGGGCATGAAAATTAGGCAATATTCTGTTAGTAGGCCAGCCAGTATAGACCAACGCTAACTATGTTTAGGACACATGATCAAAGAATTTGAGGGATACAAAAGTCAAGGCTTAAATGATTGATTCTTTTACTGACAGCTGTAGGGAGGGAGGAATGCGTCGGAGGAGAATTGAGGGTTCAGGCCTCTCAAGAGAGCCGAGGGTGACCAGTGGAGATTTCAAGGACTTTCGGAGTTGGTATTTGGATGCCGGGTATCACGACGAGCTCATGATGTCCCTGTGTGTGAAGGAAACGAACAAATAGAAATAAATGTAAAAGTAGAAGCTTTGTTTTGCATAGCATTTATTAACAAATCATTTGTTTGCTGAAAGTAATTTTTTTTCAGAGATTGAAATCATGAGAAAGTGGATTTTGAGAAAAAAAATTTAGAAAGTAAATTATGAGAAAGTGGGTTTTGAGAAAGTAAATTATTTTTATATATTTGTTAATATAATAAAAGATAAGTTGGAAAATATTTTTTGATATTTAATTATGTTATAGAAAATAAGTTGAAAAGTAACTTAGTAATGTTTTATTTTTTCAAGTTTATTAAAATAATGAGAAACAAATCTTACAAATTAAAAAGTTGAATGACAATTAAATTAAAAAAAATATAATTTCATAAATTATCTCAAATAAAATAAATAAAAATAAAAATAATAAAGATCAAATCTAACAAATAAAAAAATTAAAAGTTGAAGAAATTAAAATAATTATAATTATCATTTCATAAATTATTTTAAATAAAATAAGTGGCACTCAAAAGAATGAGATCAAATTTGATAAATAAAAAATTTCAATAAAAAATGATAAAAGAAAAGCAAATAATAATTATAAAAAGATAATCAAAGTTAATATAAAAATTAAATTCTAAGTGATGGAATTGAAAAAAAAAATCAAAACAAAATATATATAACAATGAAAAGTTCGAAGATCAAATTTGATATAATCAGTAAATACTATGATATTTCTAAATTTTTCATAACATTCGCAAAGTGTTTTCCATCCAAAATAAAAAGAAAACACTTTCCTGAAAACTAACAAAAATTTTCTTTGATTGGAAAGAATTTTACGTTAACCAACTTTTCTAATAAAAAAATAAACACAAGAAAGTTTAGAAAATGATTTTATATCAAACAAACGCCCCTTAACTCCATTACAGAAAAAAAAAATTATACAATACTATTGTAGTTGTAAAGATTGAAAACCTAGAAACCAATCAAACAAATGTCGATGTGCCAAGTGATTTACAAAGTATGTGTATTAGATTTGATATTACGTTATTTAGTCAACCAATAGGAAAATTTAGAAAATGATTTTATACCAAACAAACGCCCCTTAACTCCATTGCAAAAAAACAATTATACAATACTATTGTAGTTGTAAAGATTGAAAACCTAGAAACCAACCAAACAAATGTCGATGTGCCAAGTGATTTACAAAATATGTGTATTAGATTTGATATTACCTTATTTAGTCAACAAATAGTTATATGCGGTGACATTATTATGCTCATGTAAATATATATTTATTATTAATAATTAATTAATTAATTTTTAATATTCATATAAAGTTAGATTAATGAACTTAGAGTAAAGATAAGGTTCATGTAATAAAAACTCTGCAAAAAAAATTATAAAATTGTTATAATTATAAGATTCATACTGCATCAAAGCATTGTTCATAAATATATTAATGGTTAGCGCTCTCTTAAATACTAGACATTCATTAAGACTGTGTAGATTAGTACATATTATATATTTTTTTAATAAAAGATAACAGTTGTTTTCATTAGTTAAGGTATAAAAGATACGTAGAATCATTATATAAGTTCTTGTTATAAGACATGTATACTGAACTAACTCACATAAAAATTTTATATGGAGATATCACTTATATCAATGAAAAGGCTCATATGATAGTTATATAGATGATTTTTAGACTTGATATCATTAAGTTATCTTGTATAAAAAATATTATATTTTGGTCATGTTAAATGTTATCTTAATCGAGGTAACTAAATGACAGACATTGAACGTAGCATGAACTATATGAAAGTATATAAGTGATTAAAGATAATTCATCACCCTATATAAATTAAAAAATATATTTTATCTATT